GCAATGAAAGGCAATATCTGTTTCTAACCCTATAGGAGATATTATTAAGGGCCAGGTACAGACATTACACTTTTACCAGTACAAGTGATCAGAAACCAGTTTAAAACCATAACAGAACAGGAGTTCAGCACACACAGACTAGTTTAAAAATGGCAGAATCCAGTCTAAGATTTGGCTCCCTCCCCCACTCCAAAAGGAAAATGTATATTCTGTTCGCTACAAATCTAAACTATGCCACTTACAGAAAAATGCAAAACTTAGATCAACTCTGCCTCAGGCTTTTTGAATGTCTGTACTTAGCCAAGGTGATAAGGATCTACCGACATGGATTTATGAAGACCAAATCATGCTTGAACCACCAGATTGCCTTCCACAAAAAGGTGACAGACTTTGTGAACTGCAAAGAGAGCAATGGATATGAATCACTTGATTTAGCAAGGCTTTCAACATCGTCTCCCATGACATCTTCATTAGTTAGCAAATGAAACACTGTTTGGATGAAAGTACTGTAAGATGGATACATAACTGGTTGGATCATTGTGTTCAAAGAACAATCATCAATGGAAAGAAGTATTAGGAATGACTTTTATTAAACTGTAAAAATGGTCCAAAATTAATCAAACACAAGTCACTAAGGACATGTGCAAAGTCCTGTATTTAGGAAATGCACAAATGCAAATTTGGGAGTGAGTGGCTAGGCTGCAGTACTGCAGAAAAGGCACTCGAGTTATAATGGACTGCAAACTAAAAAATAGTCTATGATGTGTTCATCTTGCAAACAAATAAAAAAGCCAGTAGCATATTAGTTTGTATAAAAAAAGTGTGTCACTTGTAAGTAAAAGGAAGTAATTTTTTCCACTTTAGTCAGCAGTGATGAGGCCTCCCTTGGAGTATTATATCCACTTTTGAGCAACATACTTCAAGAAAAATGTGGAGAAATTGGAACTAGTTCAGAAGAAAGCAACAAAAATTATCAGAGGTCTAGAAAACTTGATTTATGAGAGAAGACTGAAAGAACCAGGATTATTTAGTCTAGAGAAGACTGAGGGGGGATTTGGTAACAGTCTTCAAATATATGAAGGGTGGTTATAAAGATGGTGAAAATCTATTTCTGCGACTGCATGGGCCTAGATGAGAGTTAAGTTTAAACTGTAACAGAGGAAATTTAGGCTGGATACTAGGAAGAACTTTCTCATTGAGGGCAGTAAAACATTGGAACAGATTGTCTAAAGCGGCTGTAAAATATCCATCAGTGGAATTTTTAAAGAGCAGGTTAACATTTGTTTGGCATGATCTGAACAGGAACGATCCCACCCGAGGGGATTGGTCCTGATGTCCCTTCTAGCTCTATTTTCTTCATGGTTTTTATGATTTTTTTTATAGTACACTAGTATAAATGCTGTAGCACATATCTGCAAAAAATAACCTCTAAATAATAACAGAGACCAAATACCCATTACATAAAAGCTAAGAACCAGATAAGACCATCAATCTTTTTCTAATAACTATCCAGGTGGCCAGTTAATAATGTGATAATTAGAGAAATTCCACTAAATTAGCAAAGGATACAGACAAATATAAACTTACCCAAGTGTGCTGGTTCTTATTTTGTTTGTTTTATTTCCTGGTCGCTAGGACAGTAATTAAAGCCAATACAGAAAAACCTGGTACAATTACAGCAGATTAGATCTGATGTCCTATGCTTCAACAGGAATACAGGCGGAAACAAATGTAAGACTGGATCAAACTAGTATCCTGGAGGCAAGAGCAGCCAGTAGCAATCGCTTAGGAGATGCCACAAGCAATTCTGTGCTGCAGTTATTGAATGACATCTACAGGTAAAGTTCCTCCCCCACCTCCCACTAATTATGATGGGCTTATGATCTATGAAGGTTTATATTCCCTCCAAGTCTCTTAGGGTGAAATCCTAGCCTAAGTGGTAAATGAATATTGGCTTCAAGGGTGGGAGGAGGAGGAAGAGAACGGGGGGGGGGGGG